ACCGAACCTGGCCTTCCAATGTTCTTCTATAACACATCTTAACTTTTTGTGTCATAATTATCTTTTAAACACAGGTCTTTCTTGCTACTCTGCTCTTTAGGGGCATGGAGTACTCTTCCCTTTGCAGCTAGTGCATGGTCATGTGACTAAATTCTGTCAATCAGATGCCTCCTTCAGGTCTTTGAGGGGAGTGGTTCTAAGAGCTCAGGGCAATTAGAAATTATTCTCAGCAGTGACAGAGTAGTCAAAGACTTAACAGAGGCTTTGGCGAGTGCCTGGTGGTAGTTCATGGGGAGATGATGTCACTGGACACTTGCTGTGGCATATCTTGGCTGGGTTGTGCTGCCTGGATGCTGATGGTGAAAACCCGCCTCTTCCCAAGCCTGCATCTCTAGCCTTCCCATCGACTCTGAGCTATTTGACACATACGTTAACAATTTCCCTTTCTGCCTACTTTAATAGAGTCATTTTTTGTTGTTTGCTATTAAAAACTTCATACATATGGTGAATCTCCTAAGATTCTTTCATTGCAAGCAACAGATGTTGGCTGGCTAATGGTAATGAAACATTGTGGTTGACTCCCAACATCTGTTCCTCCTGGTTGGTTTGGTTTCTTTTTTTCTTTTTATATTTTTCATTAACATTTGGAAAGAAGGTAGGTAGATTGGTTTCTAAACCAGTGGTTCTCAAACTTGAAGGAGCATCGGAATCAATGGAGGGCTTTGGAAACACATTGCTTGGCCCCACCCTCAGAAATTCTGATTTTATAGGTGTAATGGTTGGTTTTATGTGTCAACTTTGTTAGGTTATAGTCTCCAGTTATTCAGTCAAACAGCGTTGTAGGTGCTGTGAAGATATTTTGTAGAGGTGATTAACATCTACATCTAGATTATCCTTGATGATTTGTGTGGGCCTGATCCAATCAGCTGAAAGGCCTTGGGAGCAGAACTAAGGTTTCCTGGAAGAAATTCTGCCTGTGCACTGCAGTTTCAGCTTGGGAATTAGCACCTGCCCTTCCTGGTGACCCATGTTACGGATTTTGGACTTGCCTAACTAACTTCTACAATCATGTAAGCTAGTTCCTTCCATAAATTTCTCCATATATGTCTCCTACTTGTTCTGTTTCTCTGGTTGAACCCTGACTGATACGGATTTTGGTACCAGAGGGACGGAATCTTAAGTATGAGTTTTCTGAATTGGCTGTGTGTTTTCTAGAATTTGTTTTCTAATCTGATTAGATTGAAAGGCACTAATGACTGTGTTTCCAGTGGTAAAGACGGTACTGATGGTCCATGGCCTGATGTGCCAGTGGAGATGCACGAAATACCATGTTTAGATGCCCCTATGAAATACCTTATAAAATGCAAGGTTCTGGGTGACCATAGATCTGATAGCTTAGAACATTTTAATCAAATAGGTATTATAATGAGATTGGCTGACTCTTCCTAATTGGGCTGGACAAAGTGGAGAAAGAAAAGGGTGAGCTAAGGGTTTCAAATTCCCAGCTGAAGTGTTGCATAAATGATCGAAAAGTGTTTTATGTCTGCCCTGGAAGCAACTCTCATCTTCTTAGCCACAGGACTAAGATTTCTGAAAACCAAACCCAGAGTGCATCCTGCAAGTGACTGTATTACTATGTAAATGGAATTCTCAGCCTTGCAGAGTGTATACTATTGAAGTGAGAGCATTGGCTGAGTGTGGTGACTCATGCCTATAATCCTAGCACTTTGGAAGTCTAAGGCAGGAGGATTGCTTAAGTCCAGGAGTTCGAGACCAGCCTGGGCAACATAGCAAGATTTCATCTCTACAGATTATTATTATTATTATTATTTTAATTAGCTGGGCATGGTGGTGTGCACCTGTAGTCCTGGCTACTCCAGAGGCTGAGGTGGGAGGATCACTTGAGCTCAGAAGATTAAGGCTGCAGTGAGCTGTCATTTTGCCATTGCATTCCAGCCTGGGCAACAGAGTGAGACCTAGTCTCTTAAAAAATAAGAAGAGAGCATTGATTGAGAAGCAGTGGGATCCTGAAAAGTGGAATGGGGACATATGAGAGGATCCTGATGAAGCCAGTGAAATGGAACCCCTAAATTCTGTGTCGTATTTCTTGCCAGTAGAAGCTGCCCTTCTACTTCTGTTTGAGAAGGTTAATCCTACTTTGCCTGAAGGATCTGTAATGGTCTCTTCAGAGGGGTTCCTTACCAGGCATCACTGATCTTCCTCAGGGTCTGCCCTTGCTACCTGCTTTGCTCCTGGATGTATAACTAGACACAAGTTCCAGTAGGCACCAAAGAGTGAGGTATAAATTATGATCCATGAGGAGGTACCCTGCACACCAAAAGGACTCCATGATTTTCCCAGTCTATACAGACAGAAATCTGGGGAATATATGTGAGAATGGATCTCAGAGTGTAGGATATGGTGGTAGGACTAAAGTTGAGTCAGGACAACTTTATTGATCTGGATTCAATGTTTAAGCGGTTAAAAAGGACTCTTAACAGTTTAGTTGGTTTGCTGAACATGGACTCAAATATGGCCTACACTAAAGTCAAAATGCCAGAACTGCCTCAGTGTACTGTGGAGGAAGGGATTCAAAGGTTCAGGGAGATTGGAATGTTAGGGTGGATTTATCATATAAGCCCCACCCACCCACCCTGGAGGAATCAAGAGGACACACGTTTCACCATGACTGTGAGAAATAGATTTTTGAGGAGGCCCACAAATTTGGGTTCTCTTCTTTGTAGGTCAGAATGTACAGTGGAAACTGCTAGCATCAAACTGGAACCCCTAGAGGCAGTGGGGTTAATTTGATCCCAGGGTAGCAGGGGCAAATGGTGCCAATCACCAAAGATAGCATGGCATGGTTATACTGTAATGGACAGCAGAGTCAAAGCAGCCATCAGAATTGTTGGACTCAGGCTAGGAACATTGGCACATGCCTGTAATCCCAGAACTTTGGGAGGCAGAGGCAGGAGGACTGCTTGAGGCCAGAAGTTTGAGATCAGCCTGAGCAACATAGTGAGACTCTATCTCTACAAAAAATTTTATAAAGCAAAAATTAACAAGAATTTAACAAGAATTGTCTGACTCAGAGACCTCTGGCATTGGCTGGTTGATCATTGTGTACATATGGAAGAGATAGATGGCAGTCTTACTTGATTTATGTAAGTGGAAGAGTTCTAGGCTGAGTAAACAGAAGTCTTTTTTTTTTTGAGACCAAGTCTCGCTCTGTCACCCAGGCTGGAGAGTGCAGGGGCACAATCTTGGCTCACTGCAACCTCTGCTTCCTGGGTTCAAGTGATTCTCTTGCCTCACCCTCCCAAGTAGCTGGGAGTACAGGCACCTGCCACCATGCCTGGCTAATTATTGTACTTTTAGTAGAGACAGGGTTTCACCAAGTTGGCCAGGCTGGTCTCGAACTCCTGACCTCAGGTGATCCACCCAATTCGGCCTCCCAAAGTGCTGGGATTACAGGCATGAGCCACTGTGCCCAACCAACAGAAGTCTATCTTAAGTCACCACAATTGAGTCATAGCCTCTGAATCATTTCCTAGACTTGAGCTAGTTTATAGGTCCAGAATCCCTTCAATGAAGCAGAGGCTGGGTTCCCCTTGAGGAAGGACCCTACCACATTGCCAGATTTATATTGTTTATCTTTCTCCCAGTCTTCCCTCAATGGACCCATGACTATTTACTGGGGTAACTATGCACTGGGGAAAGGGAAAAGAATCAGACAGTTTAGGGATTACTGGACACTGAATTGATGCTAATTCCAGGAGGCTCAAAACATTACTGTGGTCCACCAGTCAGAGTAAGAGCTTATAGAGTTTTAGCTCAGATCAGTTTCACAGTGAGTCCCATAGGTCCCTTGAATGATCCTGTGATTATTACACAGGAATGGAACCTGCATTCTAGAATGCAGAATTAGAACAGGCACATACTCAGCAACTAGCAGAATCTCTACATTGGGTCCCGGACCTGTGGAATGAAGGCTGTTATGGTGGCATAGGCCAAGTGGAAGTCACTAGAACTACCTCTACCTACAAGAATGATAAACCAATAGTGGCTGTGATATGGACACTTGATTAAAGGGGCTGAGAGGACTTGTGGGGAATCCCAATTGGAAGAATATCAAAGTTAGAGATGAAGGTGACTAGGGAGAGTTGGAGTGAGGAAATAGTGTGAAATGGAGGGATACAAAAAGTGCTCTTTGGGAGGCCGAGACAGGCGGATCACGAGGTCAGGAGATTGAGACCATCCTGGCTAACAGTGAATCCCTGTCTCTACAAAAATACAAAATCTAGCCGGGCGAGGTGGCGGCGCCTGTAGTCCCAGCTACTTGGGAGGCTGAGGCAGGAGAATGGCGTAAACCCGGGAGGCAGAGCTTGCAGTGAGCTGAGATTGCGCCACTGCACTCCAGCCTGGGTGACAGAGCGAGACTCCGTCTCAAAAAAAAAAAAAAAAAGTGCCTGAGCTCTGTGCCTCAGAATATGATCTTATTTGGAAATAGAGTCTGTGTTAGTCCATTTGTGTTGCTATAAAGGAATACCGGAGACCAGGTAATTTAGAAAGAAAAGAGGTTTAATTGGCTCCCAATTTTGCAACCTGTACGGGAAGCATGGTGCCGTCATCTGCTCCTGGTGATGCCTTGGGAGGCTTCCAATCATGGTGGAAGGTACAGGGAACAAGTGTGTCACATGGTGAGAGTGGGAGCAAGAGAGAGCGAGGGAGGGAGGTCCCAGATTTATTTATTTATTTATTTTTTTGAGACAGAGTCTCGCTGTGTCACCCAGGCTGGAGTGCAGTGGTGTGATCTTGGCTCACTGCCTCACCTCACCTCTGCCTCCTGGGTTCAAGTGATTCTCCCGCATCAGCTTCCTGATTACCTGGGATTATAGGTGTATGCCACCATGCCCGGCTAATTTTTGTATTTTTTTTAGTAGAGGTACAGTTTCACCATGTTGGCTGAATTCCTGGCCTCAAGTGATCCTCCTGCCTTGGCCTCCCAAACTGCTGGGATTACAGGTGTGAGCCACTGCACCTGGCCAGGTCCCAGATTTTTAAACAACCAGATATTGTGTGAACTAACTGAGCAGGAATTCATCACTAGGGGGATGGTGCTAAACCATTCATGAGGGATCCTCCTGTATGCTCCAAACACCTCCCACCAGGCCCCGCCTGCAACATTGGGAATCGCATTTCAATGTGGGATTTAGAGGGGACAAACATCCAAACCATATCAGGATTACTGCAGATGAAATTACGATCAGGTTATACTGGAGCAGAGTGAACGCCAATGATTCATGTCATTATGAAATGAGGAAATTTGGACACAGACACACACAGAAATCGTCACTTAAAGACTGGAGTTCTGCTGAAAGCCAATATATGCTACAGATTGTCAGGAAACCACCTGAAGCTAAGAGTCAGGCCTGGAACAGATCCTTCCTCAGCACATACAGAGGGAGCATGGCCCTGCTACCACCTGGATCTCAGACTCAGCCTCCAGAACTGGGAGACAGTTTAAGTTCTACATTTCTGGAGGGATTGCAGAGATTAATGCCACCATCAAGGACTTGAAGGATATAGGGCTGGTGCTTCCTACCACATCCCCATTCAACTTGCCTGTTTGGCCTGTGCAGAAAACGGAGAATAATAGTAGATTGTCATAAACTTACCCAGATGGTGACTCGAATTGCAACTGCTGTTCCAGATGTAGTTTCATCGCTTGGGTACATTAACATATCTGGTACTTGAAACACAAGTGCTCTGGCAAATGCTTTTCCTCCATACCTGTTAGTACACACCACCAGAAGCAACTTGCTTTCAGCTGGCATGGCCAGCAGTACACCTTCACTTTTTAGTCCTAGGTCATAATTTAGTCTGCAAGGACCTTGGTTACCTTTCCCTTCCACAAGACTTCACACTGGTCCATGACATTGATTATATTAAGCTGATTGGACCTGATGAGCAAGAAATAGCAACTACCAAGAAGTAACAACTACTGTAGATATATTGGTAAGGCATTTGTATGTTAGAGGGTGAGAAACAAATCTGACAAAGATTCAGGGGCTTTCTACCTCAGGGAAATTTCTAGAAATCCAGTAGTATGGGAAATGTTGAAATATCTTTTCTAAGGCCAAGGATAAATTGTTACATCTGGCTCCAGATGAAAAAAATGATGCAACACCGAGTGGATTTTGCAGGCAACGTATTCCTTAAGTGGTATGAGACTCTAGTCCATTTACTGACTGATCCCAAAGCTGCTAGTTTTAACAGGAGCCTAGAACAAAAGAAGGCTCTGTGATGGGTCCAGGTTATTGGGCAAGCTCAAGTGTCATTTTAATACTCATTTTTTTTTTTTCTTTTTTTAGACATAGTCTTGCTCTGTTGCCTAGGCTTTAGTGCAGTGGTGTGATCTTGGCTCACTGCAACCTCCGCCTCCTGGGTTCAAGTGATTCATCTGCCTCAGCCTCCAGGGTAGCTAGGATTACAGGTAGACAGCCATCACCCTGCCTGGCTAATTTTTGTATTTTTAGTAGAGACGGGGTTGGCTAGGCTGGTCACAAACTCCTGAGCTCAAGTGATCCACCCGCCTCAGCCTCCCAAAGTGCTGGGATTGCAGGCGTGAGCCGCCGTGCCCGGCCGGCGACCTAATTTTTCCTTGATAATAGGATGAATTACCCGCTAGAGTGGCCCCTTACTTTGTCCATTTGTTCAGTAGCATGAGGAGCCCAAACTGGCCAAGGACAGTCTCAGGTTTCCAATTCATCATGACAGTGTTTCCTAGTGGAAGCATTCCTTCCTTGCGCACTGGAACCTCCAAATCCACCATATTAGCACCACTTGTGCACCTTCTCAGAGGCTCTTGACTGCCTCCTCCTTACACTTGGTTGGTGTCACACCCACACCAGGTCACCCCTCCACTTTGAGATTTGAATAAGATGCCACATTGCAAGGTGTGGGATATGGTTTCCTGTGTGGCTGCCAGGAGCCCAGATGGTGCAACTCAGAAGTTTAGGGCATTAGCTCAATGGAATGAGCAATGACCAATGGGAAATAAATTCCTGTCTTTTCAGGAATTACTACAAGGTGTGTTTTCTTTTGGCACCTCTTCTGGAGAAGTCCTGTGTGCAGAGTGAACCTGCCTGCAAAGCGACGTGCTGTGTGTCTGTAGCTCATTGTAAATCAGTCCTGCAATGCACTGCATGCCATTGCATCATGTCTTGTCTCACTTTTTTTTCCCTCACGTTTGTGTCTCTGGACATGCTTCTGTCCAAGTGCCAGAAACGGTTTTTTTTTTTTTTTTTTTTTTGAGTTCTGCTTTCTAGAGGACTTCTGTTAAGACAATTGGTTGTGAAAGTTGTACAGGATGGAATTTTGGAATTGGATTGTTCACAGGAATCAGAAGACCTTGAACATTGACATCTTCCCAAGTCTTTATTTCTGGCATAGCAGCCCCTTCCTTCTTGCTGAAGGGGATTAGCCTTCCCTGTCTAGAGACCATGTAACGGCCTCACCTGAAGCAGATGCCTTGCAAGATAGCATTTATTCTTAAGACTGAGTCCTGCCACATCTCTGCCTCCAGGCCAATAACTAGAGTCAGATCTCAACCTTGACAGGGAAAGACAGTCCCTGCTTTGGGAGGAAATAAGTCACATAGCAAAGGAATGATAACTCTCTTGGAATTAGAGCACTTGGCTTGGGAGGAAGTAGGTCACATAGTAAAAAAATCATGGTACCATACAGCTAATATGTACCAGTGAGAGTAGGAATAAACCACGTGGAAATTCATCTGGAGGTTGTTGGGCTGTGGGAGGAGTGAAATATGGTGGAAAGAGGAGTCCTTTATGTTCACTTGTGAATTGGGATTCAGTGTTCTGTCAAAGACATGAGCTACTGGTTCTAATACTCTTCTGGGATGGTTTCTTGATGGATGATGATGGTTTCCTGATTGGATGTTATGATGCCTACCATAAGTGAGGTGGAGATGCCAGACTTTCTGTGGTATGGTATTGAGCATAGTATCCGAAGACTTAAGGAAGTGGAATGTTAGAATTGACTTATGAGACTGAATAATCCAACATTTGACTCTTCTCTGAGGGTTCAGAGCATCTCCCTTCACCCAAGGTAGTAAGGAAGGTACTGGTGAGAGAGTTACTGGCATTTTTAAGAGCTCAATGATGGCTGTCCTCTGTGGGCAAAGGCTAATAGTGGGAAATGCTGTCATAGAAATGGACTTCCAAAGATCAACAGAGATGGTGGGTTTCTGAAGTGGCAGACTGCATCTCTTCATTGTCAGAACTAAGGTGGATGGAGTTCCATACTGGGCAGCAAGTCAACAGTAGCCTGATTTACAAATGGATCTGCATGATGTGCTGATACCACCTGGAAGGACAGTGAAGGGAAGTGCCCTGAGGGGGTGGAATTTTGAGCTATGCATCTGAAATAAGAGATGGCAAGACATATGTATCTACACGTTTCAAAATAGACAGTAGTTTCTGGTTTGAATAGGTGACCAGCGGCTTGGAAAAATGAGATTGAAAAATTGACGATAAGGGTGGGCAGGATTACTGGCTCACACCTGTAATCCCAGCACTTTGGGAGACTGAGGTGGGCGAATCACCCGAGGTCAGGAGTTAAGAGACTAGCCTGGCCAACATGGTAAAACCCCATCTCTACTAAAAATAAAAAAAATTAGGCCAGGCGCAATGGCTCACGCCTGTAATCCCAACACTTTGGGAGGCTGAGGCAGGCACATCATGAGGTCAGGAGATTGAGACCATCCTGGCAAACATGGCGAAACGCCGTCTCTACTAAAAATACAAAAAATTAGCCAGGCATTGTAGCACACGCCTGTAGTCCCAGCTACTAGGGAGGCTGAGGCAGGAGAATCACTTGAACCCAGGAGGCAGAGGTTGCAGCGAGATGAGATTGCGCCACTGCACTCCAGCCTGGGCGACAGAATGAGACTCTCTCCCAACCCCCCCCCCCAAAAAAAAAAGAAAAAGAAAATGATAAGGAGATCTGGGGGAAATGTAGATGTATAGTCTCTTAACACAAATGAGATTTTTTTTTTTTTGTCCAATATACATGCTTACAACTACCTGAGTAGTAGAGTATCACAGAAATTCTGGCATCTCCACCTCACTTACTGTAGGCATCATCACATCCAAGCAGGAAGCCATCATTCCTCAGGAAATCATCCACACAGAGTATTAGGATCAGTAGTTCATGTCCCCAACAGAACATTGAATCTTAAGTCACTTCACAAGATGACATTTTCTGTGGCTATTATTCAGCGTCTTTTTTTCAGCAAACCCTATTCCTGTTTCATTGGCTCATAAACAAAGTCGCTAAGGTGGTAGGGATGAAAGTTATCCATAGATTCAGCAAAAGGGTCATCCATTCACCAAAACCGATCAGGTGACAACCGCTGCTGAGTGCCTTATCTCCCAACAGCAGAGGCCAACACTGAACCCTGAATGTGGTTCAATTCCCTGGGGAAATCAGCACGCCACCTGGTGGCATGTTGATTACATGAGACCACTTCTATCATGAAAGGGGCAAGGATTTGTTGTCACTGGAGTAGACATTTACTCTGGGTTTGGGTTGGCCCTTCCCAGTTGAAAAGCTGTTGTTGAAACCATGATATGTGGATTTACAGAATGCGTTATTGTGCATCACAATGTTTCACATTGTTTCTAAGTAAATCATTTTATAGTGGATGAAGGGCAGGATGGGAATAATGCCCACATAATTTATAGGAGTTCCTGTCTTCGCTGGATCCAGGAACAGTAAATCTTCATGATTTTGCTAGCTCTAGGATGCCTTCAGGAAGATGCCTTTTCATATTTTGCCCAGTTTTGTTAGTTTCCCTGTGTGATAGGATTGGTCCAAATCATCTTGCCCTCACAAACCTAAAAGTGGAATTCCCTTACTTTAGATATTTGAAGACAGCTCTGTCTTTTATTCAAGTTAAAAATCCAAAACATCCTCAGTTATTTACTTGACCTAGCTTTTGGATCCTCCACCATCTGGTCATCTACCTAGGTTTGATAATGTTTGTTTGTTTGTTTGTTTTTTGTTTTTTAAATCGCCAGCACAATCTTTCCTTATTAAAGGAGAAAAAACACATTTCTTTCTTACATTAAAATATTCAAACTTATGAATATTTATCAAATTAAATTATATTTAAGTTATACAGATAAACCATTCACAACTATATATGTTAAAATAATATGCATATTTCATAATTGAAAAAGAAAAGCAATGCAAGTTCTTTGTAATACATTCAAACAGTTTAGAAGGATATAAAGAGAAAATAAAGAGTCTGTATCTGGCCAGGCATGGTGGCACATGCCTGTAATCTCAGCTACTCAGGAGGCTGAGGTAGGAGGATCATTTGAGCCCAGGAGTCTGAGGCTGCAGTGAGCTATGACTGTGTCAGTCATGACACAGCAAGACCCTCTCCCCCCAAAAAAGAAAAGTCTATATCTGCCCAACTCCCCACAGCCCCCTTCCTTTCATCCTCTCAGTGTGATCCCTCTACCTAGTAATAATCTCTGTTAACATTTTTTGGTTATTATTATAGAAATTATACACAATGTCCAGAATTTTTTTCACAAAGAATAAATCTATTCTTTTACAACTGCATAGTATTCCATCATATGGATATATTATAATTTAAACTGACCATTCCTTTATCACACATTTACCACATTTTCAATTTTTCCCCTATTTTCAACAATGCAATAATGAACATCCCAACATACCTTTTGTACATGAGTTTATGTTGTAGCTGCTACAGCCAGTGGAGTCAGAGTCTTTATTATAGTTTAGATCTTTAATGTACATGTATTTAGATTTATAAGATATATTTCTAGAATAAGATTTATGCTTAAATGTGGCACGCAGACTGTAATTAAGATATGGATGTCAGAGAAGCTGCCATTTAAACTTGGCCTTTTCTCTTCCTGCAGGGGAGGAGAAAGTGAATCATTCCGAAGCAGATCTTCTTTGTCTTTGTGGTTCGTAAGTAATCATAGGGTAGGCAGGCATCTATTGCTCTTGGGGAAATGTACAACAAAGCCTTTTAAAAAGGGCTTGATGAAGGCTGCTTTTTTAAATATGTAGAGATGAAAGTTTGCTTAAGTGGAAATAAATTTTCATGGAAACCCAGGTGGCTACTGGAAGAGTATGCAACATCTCTCACACATCTCTTTTGGACTTCCTCATAAATAGTACCTTTTGGATAGTTAGAGGCAGCTCTTAGGGGAGAGAAGGATGAGTGAAGACCGGGGATTCTGGCTTATTACCTGATTCCACATAGTCTTGGGGAAAAGTGGTTTCCGGGTTAGCTTGTGGCTATGTCTGGAACTGGAATTGTCCTGGATCCACAAAGGCACAATGATGTTGGGAAGAATGACTGCATATGTGGGTTTAACCTGGAGAGCTATTACCTGGGAGGTGAGGGAGGAGGACACCACTGTGGCCTGCATAGGAATATGGACAGAAAAGAATATACCAGACTTGGAAAGACCTGTATTCATAATGTGGCAACAACAATGGTAGCTGAAAGTTAGGTCTGCTGGTGATGGACTGGATCCTCTGGATTACTCTCCAGAAGGCATTTCAGAAATATGTTCAGCCACTCTGGACAACATCCTGGGATTCTTGAATAAGTGGGCAGAAGAAAAGAAGTCCGTTGAAAGAAATTATACCTCCAACCTATCCAAAATATTGGGATGCTGCTTGGTTTAGTTAAGTAAAATAAGAGATGCAACCATATTTGTATCTTGATTAAATAAATTATACTGGTTGTGCCAGCATGATTATATGAAGTTCAGTGGATATATTACTTCCTTTTAGATAAACGTTTCATGATTGCAGCCTTTTGGGAAGCGACATCTCTCTACTACTTCATATTGAGCTTATGAGGGTGACAAAAAAAAAATGCCACTCTATTTCACTAACCACTATTTCACAGAACTACTAAGAGGAAGTCTCCCACCATTCCTCATTTGTACAACTGGTTAAAAAACAAAGCAAAACAAAAAACACCAAGTTCAGGAATTATCAGTTACATGCATTAATCTTCATCCCCTTACTTGTCCCTATCTTTTATGGAAGACAATAAAATATTTGTGTTGTTGATATCACTACTAATTCTTATACTTACAATAATCATTGCACCTTAACCAACAGAGATTCAGGATTCTCACTTTTTTGAAAATTATGGATAACTTTGAAGAGCAATGCCAGATTTTATCTTCTCAGATATACAGTTGCTCATGGTGTCTCCCAGTCAAAAGTTAGAAAGCAACCAGTCTTGGCCCAAAGAGAACCCCAAATTTCAAACTGTGTGTTTTCCAGAAGCATTGGTTGTCACTTTCCTTTTCTCTAAGAACATTTTCTCTTTTATCACTAGAGGGCAATAATGCTCCACTATACAAGTTGGAAAACTCATCACAGACATAAAATCTCCTAATATTTAGTAGGTTGCTTATGCTGTTGTAAACTTGCTAGATAGATTATTTGTCTCCTCCCAGATTGTCACCAGACTATAAAAGATTGCCTCTAGTATACTTCCCCTTTTTAGACAAGTATTTCCCCTTTTTACACGAGAAGTCTCTGACATACTATTAGAATCAATGTAGTCTTCTGTAACTGGTCTCACATTTTCAATCATATAGGACTTAACTCTTTTCCATACAGCAAAATATTTCCAGATTCTGATGACTTCTCATCTCTTCTGCTATTGTCACTCAGGTTCAAGCCACTATCATCTGTCATCTTAGTGGGGTCTACCCTGACAGCTTGCATCAGTTAGGATAGCTCAGGTTATGCTGCAGTAACAAATGAGACCAAAATCTCATTGGCTTAATCAATATGTAGCTCACACCAAGTGTCTAACGCAGGCTGGCAGGGGCTTTGGCTCATGATATTATTCAGGAATTCTGGCCAAGCGAAGCTTCCTATGGCATGCAGCAGTGGGAGAGGCATGTGGAGAATCACACGCTGTTCTTAAAGCTTCTGTCCAGAAATCATACACATAATTTCTGCTCACATTCCATTGGCCGAAACAAATCCTATGGCTGTACTTAACTTTAATATGTTAGGGAAGTACAATCCTAGTATAAGCCTGGAGATTGAAAATCATATGTATTTGGTGAACAGCAGAAAGGAAACCAAACCACTCTAATGATAATTTCACTTCCCCATTTCTGCCCCAGGACTTTGGATTTCCCTTATTCTGTTCTATTTTCTCCTATAACCCTTATCTTCTGACTTACTATATAATTTACTTTATTATTACTTTTCCTACCCCCTCTTTCTAGAATATAAATTCCACAAGGACAGGGATTTTTGTCTATCTTCTTCTATACTATATCCATATTGTTTGGAGCAGTGCCTGTCTCATACTAGGTATTCAATACATATTGAATGAATGAGTAACCAATTGATCATACAACAATTTTCTTCACCTTATACAATAGCCCACCTTTTAGGTGGAATGATGACACAAATTAGAGAAATTGACACTGTGCTTGTTCAAAACCGTGATATTTAGGTTGGACACCATGGCTCACACCTATAATCCCAGCACTTTGGGAGGTTGAGGTGGGCGGATCACTTGAGGTCAGGAGCTCGAGACCAGCCTGGCCAACATGGTGAAACCCTGTCTCTACTAAAAATACAAAAATTAGCCGGACGTGGTGGGCACCTGTAATCCCAGCTACTTGGGAGGCTGAGGCAGGAGAATCACTTGAACCAGGAAGGCAGAGGTTGCAGTGAGCCGAGATCATGCCACTGCACTCCAGCTTGGGCAACAGAGTGAGACTCTATCTCAATAAAAAAATAAAAACAAAAATAAAAAACCCCAAACCATGACATTTAGGAAAGTCTTTGCAAGTAGGGTGTCTTACTGGGAGAATGAAGTCTTTTGAATCCAGGACCTCATAAAGCATCATGACAACAAGCAGATTGGGAATATTGTTTACTGTACTGTCTTTACTGTTGGATTCATAAGCATGATGGTAAACATAATGGTAAGTCAATTATTTTCTTTTCTTATTTAGTTACTTACTTATTTATTTTTTTTTGAGACAGGGTCTTGCTCTGTCACCCAGGCTGGAGTACAGTGGTGTGATCATAGCTTGCTGCAGCCCTGAACTTTTGGGCTCAAGCAATCCTCCCACCTCAGCCTCCAGGTTGGGACTACAGGTGTGTGCTACCATACCCAGCTAATATTTTTTCATTTTTAGTAGAGATGGGTCCCACTATGTCACCCAGGCTGGTCTCAAACTCCTGACCTCAAGTGATCCTCTTGCCTTGGCCTCCTAAAGTGCTAGGATTACAGGCGTGAACCACTGTGCCTGGCCAATTATTTTAAATATATGCTGTTATGGTCCCTGCAGAGGCAGATGGAGGCTTAAAAGCTGTCAGCAGTCAAGCATCAAAAAGTGGAGTCAGATTCCTCATTGCATATGCATTCTTATCATTAGTTCGGTACTGCCTAACTTGATATTTTAAAGTAACTCACAATTATTAGTTACTCATTGGACTTGATGGAAACGAAAGGATCAGTTGTCATTTTCTGTGGGGAAAATGCCCGTGTGGCAGAGCAACAGACAAGGACGCTTCTCAGATGACTTCCATCATTAAGTGTCTGTGATTCTGGGACATGGCCGTTCCAACACCAGCTTCCAGAAATCATCAAGTGAAAGGCGATAAAGAAATTGTTTTATCTCATTGCTTTCCTTTCTTGCCTTATGCTGTAAGCCTGGTCATAAGAAAGAAGAATAGGCTGGGCACGGTGGCTCATGCCTGTAATCTCAGCACTTTGGGAAGCCAAGGCAGGCAGATCATTTAAGGTCAGGAGTTCGAGACCAGGCTGGCCAACATGATGAAACCCGTCTCTACTAAAAATACAAAAGTTAGCCGGGTGTGCTGGTACAAACCTGTAATGCCAGCTACTCAGGAGGTTGAGGCAAGGAGAATCGCTTGCACCTGGGAGGCGAAGGGTGCAGTGAGCTGAGATCAGATCACTGAACTCCAACCTGGATGACAGAGCAAGGCACTGTCTCAAAAAAATAAATAAATAAAATAAAATAAGAATAGTCAAAAGATGGAGAGGTTTGATGGTTATTTTGATTTCAAAGAAGTTACGGAAACCTCGTTTTCTTTTTTTTTTGTTTTGAGATGGAGTCTTGCTCTGTCATCCAGACTGGAGTGCAGGGGTCCAATCTTGCTTGCTGCAACCTTGGCCTCCCAGGTTCAAGCAATTCTCCTGCCTCAGTCTCCCGAGTAGCTGGGATTACAGGCATCCCCCACCATGCCCGGCTAATTTTTGTATTTTTGGTAGAGACAGGGTTTTACCATGTTGGCCAGGCTGGTCTTGAATTCCTGACCTCATGATCCACCCACCTCGCCCTCCCAAAGTTCTGGGATTACATAGGCGTGAGACACCATGCCTGGCTGGAAACCTCTTTTTCTTAGGGAAAAAGAATGTGAGGGGTGTGTGTGTTTTCAAATTAAGACCAGGGTCCATTGGAATAAGTGCTAAGATATTAAATGACCAGATTTCTTCAAATTAATGAACACCTTCCTTTACTACTAATCTTCAGCAACTGCAGGTTGCATCAGAAATGCCCATTGACTAAAATTTTGAATCCCAAGAGAAGAAGCTATTTAAAAAAAAAAATCTCTTTTGCCTTTACTTAAAAGACTGTATGAGCATCATGAAAAGTATAAATTTCAATCTTCGTTTGTATAAGTGGCTTTCATTAGTGTTTTGAAAAAAATTATGTAAATTTCCTATCCTAAACTAGCTTTGGCCCATCTGATAGTCCCCTTTTTCCATTTCCCCAGGTTACTATGTCCCTTACATATATTTGTGGCCTCAGGGGCAAGGTCCACAGCCAGAGGACCTTCTCTTCTGTCTCTACCACCTTCCTTTCCTGTTTCCTTCTCTCTTCTTCCTGCCTAGGGTCACACTTTTTTTCTCCTCTCATACTATGGTAGGTCAGGCTCTCAGGCAATTTAGATGGCTAGGACTGACAGCATAGCACAGGAGATGGAGAAAGGGAGAGGAGGCTGGGTGGGCGGTTCATGCCTGTAATCCCAGCACTTTGGGAGGCTGAGGCGGGTGGATCACCTGAGGTCAGGAGTTGGAGACCAGCCTGGCCAACATAGGGAAACCCCATCTCTACTAAGAATACAAAAATTAGCCAGGCATGGTGGCGGGAGCCTGTAGTCCCAGCTACTCGGTAGGCTGAGACAGGAGAATCGCTTGAACCTGGGAGGCAGAGGTTGCAGTGAGCCGAGATGGTGCCACTGCACTCCAGCCTGGGTGACAGAGAGAGACTCCATCTCAAAAAGCAAAAAAAAAAAAAAAAAAAGATAGACAGAAAGGGAGAGGGAATATGGAACAGTAAACTCTCCTGGCCATACCCCCTCTTCCCCACTAACCACTGCTGTTAGTGACTGACTCCAGTGGTAAATGTGGTATCCTCTTTCAATCCCTCAGTCTATTCTCATGGGTCCTAATTTGCCCTATTCCCATGCTTTCCTCCTCTGGGTTCATGATTTACTCTCAAAACTGCATTTGTGGGAGGGAATGAGAAGAAATAATAAGGAAACAGCATAGGGTATCCAGACAGATGGTATCACCAGTATCCACAACCATGCCCTAGACTAGGCAAGCCTGGTTCCCTGGTCTAGTTTGGTCAGGAGGTCAGACATCCAATATCAATGACTTAGTGTTTTTCAAACCTTAGGTCAGGGCTTTTGTTCCCTCCTGATATGAGGAGGAGAAAGAGGTGGACTTACATCTGGTAGACAGCAGATGATGACGCGGTACATAACCCATAGCTAATCTTAGCTCTTTAAAAACATACCTGCTTACTCTTGGGAGTAAGTTGCAGATGTGACTTTCATTTCTCAGGTATGCTGTAGAGGAAGCAGGGTTGAGAATCTCTGTCCTACTTTACACTATAACCACCTCCCTTAAGCACACTCTTATTCAATTTCCTCCCCAGTTCAGTTGCTGGGATGTTTTCTTGACCTAGTGACATCAGTTACGATGGAAATTTTGGGAAAGGTGGAACAAGGGTGGGTCATCTGGACTCCAAGTGCTCTCTTCTGTGTGTCAG